GGACTAAGTGAAATAGTAGGGGCTGACTTCAGTCAGACCGAGGATAAAGACAGACGGTGTTTTTGGAATACCAATTAGCATTTTTTCTGTCGTTTTCAATACCAAGTATGCAAAACCGCGCTTCATATTTTGATTTTTATCGAAGGTTTTATGCGAAAGTTAGAATTATTAATTCTGTGACAGAAGAATAGGATTCAACCAGCACTTTTCATTACTCAGCTTTACCCAGGGATAGTTAAAATACTAGTAATTACTTTTATAAATAGAAATGAACTATCCCCGGGTTGTTGTTAAACTTTTCAATTTTTGTCAACGTATTCCATATATAACTGTAACGTGATGACGATCAGATCAACAGACATACCTCCTTCTTGTCACCTTCTCTATCCCGTCGTGGACCTCTCCGGCTTCCATCACCATCACCCTGTCTTTGTTTTTCTCCGGAATCTTCATCACTTGGAGGGGGCCTTTGTCTTGGTTGGTCATCGCCTTCACTCTCTTCCCTCTTGTCTTGTCTTCCCTTACCACCCCGTGGTCGACCTTTTTGGCTTCCATCACCATCACCCTGTTTTTGTTTTTCTCCGGAATCTTCATCACTTGGAGGGGGCCTTCGTCTTGGTTCATCATCGCCTTCACTTTCCGAAAGTAACTCACGTAGGTCCTCTAATAATTCCTTTTCTCCCGGACGTGGCCTTTTTCTCATCTCCTTTTTAAAAAATAAATGGTTTAAAGTATACATTTTATACAGTTTTGGAATTGCAGTTTTATGAGGTAAATGTCAAATTTATGGTTACCCGAGGGAGGAAACTACATGTATTATTCATATGTTTATTTATTTAAATATACTTGAGTTGTTCGGAATGTTCGTGGACATCTGTCATATCTTTTTTTATTTGATTTCATATGTTATCTTTTGGTAGAAATAATTTAACAATGAATTTTAAGGATTAAAAAAGATCAAAAATATCATGATTTATTTGAACTTATGCAGAGTTAAAAACTGCAAAAGTCGAATCGTACCGCGGTCAAAATTTAATAAATTTCAAACAATACACTAAACAGTGTCTGTAGTCATACTAGTATTCTCTGCAAAATGGAGTAAAAAAAACTCCTTGATATTTAGATTAAGAACTGTTGCATTGATTCATATATTCCAAATATGGCTTTATATTTTGCTTCCTTGAAAAGAAATCAATTTAAGAAGATATGTAAACGACAAAAACTATGACGTTGTTGTACGTCACGGAGCAGCAGATAACGATACAGATGCATCGGGGAAAATCCCGAATAAACTCTCAAAATGTTGAGAAAAAGAATCAGAAAAGTATGTCAGAAGTTAATCGAGCATGAGTGAGTAAATGGTACAGGCAGTATTTGAGTGACAGAGACTTTGTATCGGACGAGGACAATCTGTGGAGCTTTTAAAAAGTTGAACGTCATGAAAGGACATAGGCTCTTCAGAATTGCTGATCTTGTAAAAGCACAGATAAGAGGTAAAAAATTAAAACATTGACAAAAGAAGATTTATTACATTTTTACCCGTGAAATACTGTAATTTATTCATTGAATAAAAATGATATCCTGTCACACTGTGAAAGGATATCAAAATGATATCCTGTCACAGTGTGATGAATATCAGAAGTGCGGGAAAACTCTCGATTTCCCTTCCCATAACGAAGATTGTTGTAAAAAAAAATCTTCCTTGACCTAATGTAAGATAGATGAAAATAAATAAACCACTCTGACAGCGAATAAAACTGTTAAAATTACCAACAATATGTTGCTAAATCCATATTTACAGTGTTTACACCTCACATAGCTATGACGTCTCAACCGCTCAACTATGACGTAACGAGCCTCTGACTGTATTTAACAAAAAGACAGAGGCAAAGGAAAAAATCAATGAATTTTATTTTAAAAATGTAATAAACAGAAAATTCAATGTTTTGTAGTTAAATATGGAATTTATTTCACTCGTGAGACAGGATTTTTGATATTTTCACTCGTGCTTCGCACTCGTGAAAATATCAAAAATCCTGTCCCACTCGTGAAATAAATTCCATATTCAACTACAAAACATTAAATATCCTCTATATACAACTAGAACAATTGCTAGAAAAATATATGTCAAGTGAAAAAAAATTGAAGAGTTTGTTGAGGGCTATATGCTGTGTGAAATGTGTAGGGATAGTATTTTTGAGAAATTCTTGACGCTGTGTTTTTGACGTACATTGCCGTTAAGTTTGCTCCGTGGTTACAAAACATGTTGATTTTTAAATGAAGTAAGTTGCCCTCTTTTAAATCAAATGAAATGCAACTTCATAAATCGACAAAACTTATATTTTTATGCATGATAATGTGCTTAATTTAAATTTCTTAAAAGTAGTATAACGAAGATTAACATCTTCCACGAACTTTTCGAACAACTCACGTATATTTGTTTTCAAGAATTTAGATCTAGAGTTTTGATTTAAGACATGAAAATCTTGACTCTCACCTTACGCTTTTTTATGCATGATAATGTGCTTAATTTAAATTTCTTAAAAGTAGTATTACGAAGATTAACATCGTCCACGAACTTTTCGAACAACTCACGTATATTTGTTTTCAAGAATTTAGATCTAGAGTTTTGATGTAAGACATGAAAACCTTGACTCTCACCTTACGCTTTGTTTTTTGCTTTGGTTCATTTAAACTTAGGATAAAAAATCACAAGTTCATATCACTGAACTTTTATGGAAAAAATTTTTTTTTGCATTTATAATAAAAAGTGTGTTTTTTGTTTTTTTTTGTTTTTTTTTTTTTTGGCAATATCAGGTAAGAAAAATCCTGGCAAATATATGATTAAGTTGTCACTAATATTGACATAAACAATTGTTAATAAATTAATACCAGTACATATGGCAAGCCCTTTTACTATTTATTCGGAAAATAAATTTCATCTGAAAATTACAGAGATATCTCTCATTTTAGAAAGATATCTCTTAAAAATAAGAGATATCTCTCAACTTAAAGAGATATCTCTTATTCTAACGAGATATCTCTATAAGAAAGAGATATCTCTTAAAGTTAGAGAGATATCTCTTATACTTAGAGAGATATCTCTTTTTCTTTGAGAGATATCTCTTTCTCCTTGAGAGATATCTCTTTCGTGATAAGAGATATCTCAGAACGCTAAAGAGATATCTCTGATCGTTAGAGAGATATCTCTTTCAACTAGAGAGATATCTCTTTCACTTAGAGAGATATCTCTTTCACTTAGAGAGATATCTTTCCAAGTAAAAGAGATATCTCTCTAAGTTTATCTTAAGAGATATCTCTCAAAGTGAAAGAGATATCTTTCAAAAGGGTCTAAAAGAGATATCTCTGAAGCAAAAAGAGATATCTCTTTATTGCAAAGAGATATCTCTCTTCATTATGTTTATTTAAATTCCATTTGAAATGACTTCTCCCTTTACCGGAAGTGAACTTTTTATTCATTATTTCAAAAGCTGAGAAAATTCGGTCCAGAGTCTGTGTAAGTCTCGTCACGTGACTCGCGAGATTTTACGATAATTTTCACTTCCTCGCACATGGTCATGGTGAATGTGTATTGAGTTCAGCATGTTTCTGGTTTACACACAGCTTTCAGGGGGAAATTAAATAGTTTTACAAAGCCGAAGGGTTGTCCGACTTACGATGTATGAATTTCATGTCATAAGAAATTGGGTGTGAGCGTCCACCAGGAATATTTCGATCGAAATACAGGTAAACAAATCAGAGAGTGTCATCCGTTTCTTGTTTATTTTGAGGGAAAATGAAGCGTTTTATTCTTAACCGAATGAAATAGTTTCAAAATTATCTTTTGCCTTAATTTGTTAACAGATTTCTCTTGAATCCGAGATGTTATTCATCAGCTGATTATAGACACAGGGACTTGCTCCCGGCATGTAATAATAATTTATTTTAAAAAATCATATACCGTAATAATAAAACTACACAAGGGAGGACGCCATTTTGGACCCCTTCCTCGCTTCAACCTCTGTTTTCGTTATATTTTGCCGTATTTTACTGACTCGCCGCCACGGATATGTCAAGAAATGATTCTTCTAAGACCTTATGCTGAAATTTCCCCCCTGGAGCCTCTTCAATACACATTTCAGACTAAAAATAATCCAAACTCGCTATTTAGGACAGTTGGTATGGACAGAAAGCGAAAGTAACCTCGGCGTTTTACATTCGAATACGGAATTAGAACGCGGTTTTTTCAAATTTATAATTAGCAGCTGTTTTAAATAGTGGAGAAATCCCGAGGTAACCGAATGTGCTTTCACTTTCTGTCCATACCAACTGTCCTAACGAGCCTGTTCGGATTATTTTTTGTCTGAAATGTGTATTGAAGAGGCTCCAAGGGGGAAATTCCAGCATAAGGTCTTAGAAGAATCATTTCTTGACAGATCCGTGGCGGTGAGTCAGTAAAATACGGCAAAATATAACGAAAACAGAGATTGAAGCGAGGAAGGGGTCCAAAATGGCGTCCTCCCTTGTGTAGTTTTATTATTACGGTATATGATTTTTTAAAATAAATTATTATTACATGCCGGGAGCAAGTCCCTGTGATTATAGAGGAGGAGTTTTGTCATTGATGGGAACGAACGTCATATTTATGATATTGTGGCTGCATCACTTCTGTTTGGGTAATTTTTTAATATACTTTTTATGCCCCCGTAAACGAAGTTTCGGGGGTAATTAGTTTTTGTCGTGTCCGTCTGTCTGTCTGTCTCTCTGTTTGTCCGCAAAAACTTTCACCTTGCCCATAACTTTTGATTTAGTGGAGCTATGACTTTCATATTTCATATGTATATTCCTTTTGTAAAGACCTTTCTTTGGGTACCACCAAATTTGACCTTTTGACCTTGACCTTGGAGTTTGACCCACTTTAAAAATACAACATTGACAGAAATTTTTGAAGGGTTAGGACTAGGGCATTCATACTTCACAAATTTAATCCTTGTGACAAGACCTTTCATTTGATTTCAAGAACCTTGACCATCTGACCTTGGTGTTTGACCTTCTTTTTACAAACTTTAACCTTGACCATAACTTCTGAATAGTTGGGGCTAGAGCTTTCATATTTCACATGTGTAATCCTTGTGACAGTACCTTTCATTGGATATCAAGAATCTTGACCCTTTGACCTTGACCTTAAAGTTTGACCTACTTTTTACAAACTTTAACCTTGGCCATAACTTTTGAACGGTAAGGGCCAGTGCTTTCATACTTCCCATACGTAATCTTTGAGACAAGGCCTTTCTTTAGAACACAACAACATTGACCCTTTGACCTTGACCCGGAATTTGTCCTATCTTTTAAGATGTTAACATTGGTCATAACCCTGGAGCAGGTGTAGTTAGTGTTTACATTTCTCATTTCTTGTGAAAAGACCTTACTTTGGTACCAATTAACATATTTGATTTGCATTTGAGAAAGCTTAACTGTCGCTGAATTGCCGTACGGGGGCATCAGTGTTTCACAAACACATCTTGTTTTTCAGTAAATTTTAACCTGCTTAGTATTAGTGGATTATTTTTTTGAGCATTAAATGTTTGTAGCAATTTAGATCTATTTCACAAGGATAAGATGTTCATCTGCATGGCACAGTGGTTAGAGTGTCTGCTCTAGTAGAGTCGCGAAATAAGGTGTTGATCCTTACATCATGAGTTTGAATCCCACTGTGGGATATGGAGACCTGTCCTTGGGATGATACAGTATAACTGTGGCCCCTTGTTGCAGTAGGTCAGGTGTTGGCACAAAAAAGATCCCTTCCTGCTCAATCAGTCAATGGCCCTGAGTGCTGAGTATAGGTCATTAGGACAAAATTTGCAGCTCTCTACTGTCGTTTCCATATGAGTGAAAAATTCTTGAGAGGAACGATAAACAATAAACAATCAATCTGTCTGTTCAATTTATTCACTGATATTACACAACTGTATACACTAAAACTTATTTATAGCAGAGGTACAAGAGAACCAGTAACACAGATAAAAGATGCAGTTCCTAAGAGATCCAAAGTCAGCAGCACCTAAGACTATACTGATCATGACTTTGAATTATCAGCATCCAAAACAATGCAAATCAAATACAGGTATGAAATTGATGCAACACATAAGTTCTAAGACAAATATAAAATTTATTTTTTATACGCCCGTCTTAAGACGGGACGTATTATGTTATAGGCTTCATGTCCGTCCGTCCGTCCGTCCGTCCGTCTGTCCATTCGTGTCCGGCTCATAACTTGAATACTATTAGACCTAGGATTATCAAACTTTGACAGTTGATACTTCTTGGGTAGACGGTGTGTCGCGCACAAAAAGTAGGTCGTTCTGACCTTTAATAAAGATGCTATGGCCAAATATGGAAAAATCCTGTCCGGCTCATAACTAGAAAACTGTTAGACCTAGAGCTTTCAAACTTGGCAAAATTATACATCTTAGGTAGAAGGTGTGTCGCGGCCTATTTCAAGGTCACTGTGACCTTTAATTTAAGTGATTTTTTTAAAAAAACTAAGTCTTTAAAATTTTAAATTTCATAATCCTAAAAAATGTAAAAATATAGTTGTATCCTTATTTAAAAATGTTAAATCAAGTAAAAACTTATTTTTTTCATCATATACTTTACAGCAATCTGTAACAAATGCTAATGTTTTGAGAGGAATTCAGTTTGTCTCATGGGCATAATTATCAAGCACTGGTCAAGAAGAATTTTGATAGCAGAAATTTGCATGTCAAATTAGAGAGAAATTAATGAGTTTATTGTCAGGAGCAAACTGGTAGAGAAGATCTCTGATAATGCAGCTGTTATCTTTATCTTTAATCTCTTGGGAGTTGGGCAAAAAGAAATGGCCTCATAGTTGCTTGTGTTAATTAAGAGTTCTTGATGGCTAGTTCAGAAAAAGATCTTTCAATTAGTGTAATGTAATTAAAACAAATTGATGCTTTAAAATACAGTGTATGATAAAAACTTAATTAATATTGTATAATATAATTAAAAGTAAACCTTATTAAAAAATGTTGAATCAAGTAAAAACTCATCATATACTTTAACAGCAATCTCTAACAAATGTTAATGTTTTGAGAGGAATTCAGTTTGTCCCATGGGCATAATTATCAAGCACTGGTCAAGAAGAATTTTAATAGCAGAAATTCGCATGTCAAATTAGAGAGAAATTAATGAGTTTATTGTCAGGAGCTAACTGGTAGTCTGTGTATGTGTAATGTAATTAAAACAAATTGATGTTTTAGTGTATGATTAAAACTAAATTAGTATTGTATAATATAATTAAAACTAATTATACATGTGTTCATTGAAAAAAAATTACATTTCAATTTTTATATATTTGCAACAAATTGCAGTCATGTCTCACTTAGAATTTTATAGTCTAAAGAATAATTTATTTTTGATTTTTTTATTAGACTGTAGCATTTCCATTATTCCATAAAATATACAATAAACAATTTAAAGCTGCAGATGGATATTTGTTAAGTTCTAACACAACCAGTTTAGAATTATATGATGTATTATTTGTTATAATTAATCCCTACACTGTAAGTCTTTTAGAGATGTATGTACAATATTTTAAACATGATAAGAAATGGAAATTAGATCATTGAAATCTGTGTCAATCTGTTAATCAAGGTTATCTGATTTTCTTGCACCTTAACCAATTTATGATTATTTAACAATATATTTGACGGGCGTATCATGCTGTGGCGGGGCACTTTATTATAAGATAGCATATCAAAATGACTAATATACTAGTCAACAACTGGCCAGCTTTAAAAATATATTTGTTTGATGTACTCCTACCCACTTTTATCAAGGTTGGCAGGTAGGTTGGTAGGTACCGGTAGTTTTTTTATGCCCCACCATAATTATGGCCTGGGCATATAGTGTTTGTCATGTCTGTCTTCTGTCTTTCTCTCCATGCGTCACACTTTGCGTTTAGCTCAGTTCAAAGCCCAGTTTCAAAGAAACTATACAGGATATTTCATCAAACTTTGCTGATAGATATTGATAAGAGCTATGCAACTGCATCAACATTTTCTGTCCTTGACCTTTCCTTTGACCTTGACCTCACTTTTCTTAAATTAGTGTTTAACTTAGTTTTAAACATACCATTCAAGATGGTGTTACAGCAAAACTCGGTTATAACAAAGTTGCTGGGACCTATGAAATTACTTCGCTATATCCATAATTCATTATAATCGTATAAGAAATTCATTGAAATTTTATAGCTGGGAATCCAAGATGACTTTGCTATACCCATGAATTCGCAATATTCGTGTTCGTACGAAACGAGATTTACTGTATCAAACTTACCATACTGATGAGAGCTTTTCAACTGAAACAAACATTTTTTGTCCTTGGCCTTTCTTTTGACTTTGACCTCAATTTTCATAAGTTAGTGTCAAACTTCATATGGTGATACATTCTGATGTAAGCAATTCAACTGCATCAACAGGACATTGACCGTTTATTTGACCTTGACCTCACATCTCTGAAATTAGTGTCAAACTTCATATGCTGATACATACTGATGTAAGCAATTCAACTGTAACATTTTTCAAGATATTCTGATCAAATTTCATACAAATTTTCATTTTGCATGACTAATATACCCTTGGCGGGCATTCCTGTCCTGTGGACATATTTCTAGTTTTTTTTTTCTTATGTCTTACAGCATTGAATAAATTGATAACTGTCATATTTAAAACCACAGACTCAGAAATCTGTTAATGTTTTCATTTAGTAACAAAGACTCTGTATTTATAAATTAAAAAGCATCCTAAAAAAAATATACCTTATCTTTAAAACATCTATGGAAATTAAGGGGGGTGTTAAAAAATTTTATGTGCCCCCAAGAAATGAATGCAAATGGGTAGGGGCTATTTTAACAGGTCGGTCAGAGTACATCAAACAAATCATTTTTTTATTGTTGGCCTAGGAAGGGTACCCTAAATATGAAAATGCAACAAATATTTTTAAATAAAAAGATTTTAAATGAAAATATTTTTTTATGTATAAAAAGGACAATTTTTATTCTGATTTTCTTGTAAAATCATTGATAAAATTTAATGAAGAAAGTTAAGATTTGTATCAAATAAATGGATATTTGTAAGATTTATAACTCATTATTTGTCAGGCACCTTAGTCCTACATCATTATCAGTTGCACATACAACTATCATCTATGGCCTATGTAATAATTCAATTGGCATATTACAGAAGCTTGCTAAATTACAGGTTTTGTCTGTACATCTGGCAATCTTGGGGCAATACTGGATGGTTTTAACTAAGAACTGATCCAGCATGAAGACCAGCCATGTGCCTCACCTGTCATGACATTATTAAAGGTAAGTGTCCCTATAAGCAAAGAATCTGACAAAGCAAAACCTTCATCTTAAAAGATTTACATTTAATACTTATTTGATTGGTAGTTTTAATTATTTTTTTTCTTCTACGCAGCCTTTTATTTAGCATTTCTGAGTACTGCATGGTATATGATTGCCATACTTTCCAAAACTTTTTTTTAAATGCTTTATTTTGAAGCATTTTCCATATTCATATATACACTGTACAAACACAACTCACCACCACAATTGCACACACTCACACAGTGCACTTTCTAAAATTAAAAATAATGAGATGTTTGTAAAATACTTATGCCCCCCTCCCCCCACATTGGAATTTTTTATCTAAGGCCATATAAAATTGAAATCTTGGTTCTCAGGCCCGCGCGCATCCGTTTTGAGGTAGCCGCATTGCCGATTTTATTGTATTTTTGATAATATAAAAAGTTGGTATTGCGGAGACCAATCCGGGAAAAAAAATTTCGACCTCATTTGTTTCGTAGTCTAGTATTCAAATATCACTTCCGGTAGCCATTTACAATGAGATTTTGGCTACTTCGTTTGAAAATACATTCGAGGACATTACCTACGATGTTGACACGCTGTTAAGCAATGGATAAAGCAGAAATTTTGATCAGAAATGGAAAGTATATCGGTGATTAAAAAAATTATCTTTATGTTAAAGAAAATTCGGAATTTAAAATTTAAAAAAATACCTCCCTCATCTACTTTATTGCCAATAAAATGAAAAATAA